TGAACCCACGGCTAAGAGGCACTTGGGACCCGAATGCGCTGTTTTGGAAGAGAGAAGAGTATGCGCAGAGCAGACGCGGAAACAAGGAGCACGTTCCCAAAGGAAGTAGTGGGGGTCCCAGGAGTGGGGGTCCCTGAGAGTTAGATTCCAGGGGCGTGGTGGGTTAAAGGTTGACTGCTAGAAACCCGGGCTGGGGGTGGGGGCGTTGCCAGATCTTTCAGAAAGAGAAACGCTCCCTGCCCCGCTTTTCCTCTGGAGTGTGTGGGATCGTTCTCAAAGTATGTTGTTAACCTTCGCAAATTAAACGCTTCACTGTGTACTTTCTGTCTACTTCCCGGAGGCACCCTTAGCAGCTCCCGTGAACGGCGACGGCGGCGGGTTGGCAGGTTCCTGGGAGGGAAGTCCTCCACAAACAGCCTCCTGGGGTAGACCGGCAACTCTGTAATCATGCTTCCGTCCAGTGATACATAAAATAACAAAAGAAGGGAACATTGTGATAATATCTTAGCCCCAGTTACCTGTTGAATAATGCAAGTTTGAACTTTGTGCCTTCCCTGGAATTTTAATAATGCATCCCAAACAGCCTGTTATTGTTGAATGGTTTTGCTGTTTTTTCTTTTTGGTTTGACTCCAAAATACTCTAGTTTTCTCTGTTCCAGTTCATTTTTCCCTTCGAGTGCAACTTGAGGCTTCATCATAATGTAAATACCACAGTCGAGGCCACCCAGACTTGGAAAGCTCACCTTGGGTGTGGGGAAGTTGTGACGTTTTAAGCTATTTTACTTGGTTTTAAATGCTCACACTTTTGGTATTGATGTTGTTTTTTTATTCCATCGTTAATAACTTATTCATATTATGGACCAAAATAAATTTTGTTGTAATTTGTTTTACATATTTAACATTTTGCTTTTGCTTTGTTGGGATAAGCTTTTTACATTTAAAAAATGTGTTCTGTACCCCCCTTAAACCCCAGAACCCCACTCAGATCAGGAGAAAAACGTCAGACATTCCATTCGAGAGGCATCGTCCAAGGTACCCGGCCAGCCTTCCACCGAGCAGGGCAGGCCTGGGTCTCTGTTAATCATTTGTTTGTGGTTGTTTTATCGCTTCACGAGTTGTAACAAATGCACTGTACCACGTCGGATGTCCGCGATGGGGGGGCCTTGGCTCTCCCAGGAGGGGTGGGGCTGGTGGGTGCTCAGGACAGAGCCCGGGAGCCCCACCCCACGCACCCTCACCGCCTGAGGACGCGCACACGGACAGGACCCTAGAGGCCCAGCGCCCCGCCGGCCCCCACTGGGGGGGATGCAGGGGGGAGAATTCCAACCCAGGGCAGATGGAAGGACCTGGGCAGGCGCCCCACCCCCGAGACCCGTCAGCGGAGGGGAGCGCCCCGCCCGCCTGCGCACAACCCCTGACCAATCCCTGCGTGGTAACGGGGCGGGGGGGGGCAACTCAGAGTGTCAGGTAACATCAGGAGTCCCCACTCAGGACAGATGGCTCCCCTGGACAGAAGAATTCCCGGTAACTCCCGTCGCTGCACCACCTCCAGGCGGAGCGTAACTCCGACCCTGTACGTGCCCAGGCGGCGGTTTGCGGGAGGGGAAGGAGCTCGGGGGAGGGGCCGCCCGCTGTTGCCTGTGCCTGGCCAGCTGAGGCGACCCTTCACCTTCAGGGCCGTCCTCCCGGACACGGCCCCAAGACGGAGATGACGAGAGAAACATGGCGCAGATCCGAACCGAGAGCCGCCCCGCGGCACACCTGCCCGGCACCCCTCTGAACGGTCCCCGTCACCAAAAATGAGGTCTGCCGAACACGACAGTCTCGGGGAGTCTAAGGAGCACGACGGCCGGTGTGCGCTTCCCACGTAGGATCCCGGGTCAGGAGGAGGGCCTCGGGGGAACGAGGGGAACCCCTTTAACGCTAGCGCGTCGGCCGTGACCGTGCGCCAGGGCGGCGGTCGCCGGGTGTTACCTGAGCGGGGCCCCGTGGGGGTGGGCCAGGGCCCGCGTGGCCGGCGCGGCTTTTCCGTACGGCTGTCTAAACCGGACGCTGACTGAAAGGACTTCTAAAAGTCAGCAGAGATGATAAGATGGTGCCCCCAGAGAGGTTTGACACTCCATTTAGAGTTTAAAAAATTAAAAGCTTGCACGTTTCCTTTCATCGTATTTTAAGATTTTTCCTTCAGGTGTTCGTATCGTGATGCTATCACCTGTATGTCGTACGTGTGCCCCTTTCGTGAAAAGGCGTGACTTGATAACCAGCATCTTTTGTAAGGACTCCTTCCTGGGAGATGGGGTGGTGGTTTTGTGACAGGTCATTCCCTCTCGGCTTTGTTCGCTTGAACTTCAGGGTCCGGCCCGCCGCGGGTCACCCCAGCATTAGGTGAGAGCGCGCGTGACTGCGGTGACCTTTTTGACCGTGTGTCTACACACACCCCCGCGCAAGAGGCTGCACCTTTCACAGCACGACAGTCCCCGCCTTGGCGACGTGGGACCAGCGATGGCAGAGAGGGGTCAGCGGTGTGCGTGCGGCCGCTAGGAGAGCTTCCCGTGTTTCCGCTCTTCCCTGTGCACGACCCCCGTTTCCTGGGAGGTCGAGGTTCGGGGCCCGTGGAAGCACACAGACCTGAACGTCGCCATCCCCCCACCGGCTGACGCCCTCCTTGTTCCCAAGCCCCGCACTTGCCCTGGGCTGTGCTCGCCCCGTGTGGGGACAGTTCACGTCTCGGGGCCGCTGGGGCCGGGCGGGGGCTCCGGCCCGAGGGCAGCGGGGGTGCTGCGGGCCCGGCCGGCCTGCGCCCACGGTCTCTCTGTCTTGTCACCCCTGCCCACGGCATCCGTGAGTCGCGGGCGTGTGGGTACAGGGCGGAAATGCCAGAGGCGACGCCCCTGGGCGACCACTACCCGAGGAAGGCGGGGTGGGGGGTGCCTACGGTGAGACGCCTGGGGCCTGTGCGCGTCCCCGGAGGCCCCTGCAGCCTCGGCCCTCCCGCCACAAAGCCGTCACCCGCTTGCCGACACGCCCCGCTTTGACTTTGTCCGCGTCTGGCTCTCTTCCCTGATCGCAGGGCCAGCTTTGGGAGAGCCCCCGCTGAGACCCTCTGCGTAAATAGTTACCGACTGAATTAATTAAGGTACTGAACGAGTCAGATCCTCCTCATTCAAAGCAGAGCCAGGAAAGAAACGTTAGTGCCGACAGGTCACTCCGAACGGGATGTAAAGTGACAGCTGAGGAGGAGTAGAGAGGACCCCGAACGCACTCGGGGAGGAGCCGTCCAGCCCCTTCCTCGCCCTTCCTGGCTCAGGGCGGGGACCACCTGTGCGAGTGACCCCGTGCCCCCAGCACTGCGGTCCCATCGCTGACCGCTAGGCGCCCCCCTTCTCTGCCGGCGTGTGAGCTTGCAGGGCCAGGCCGTGTCTGTCGCGCTGGCCTTTGTTCTCAGCACCGGCGACAGGGCCTGGTGGCCCGCGCGGTGGCGCGTAGGGCAGGCACCAGTCTCTGTGGGCCGAAGCCTTGGACAGGCCGGAACCCCACCGCGGCCGCGGCCTGCCCGTCCGACGACGTAGGCAGTTACTCAGCTCCTACGAGCCTGTTTGCTCAGGTGGAAGTGAAGGTTAGGACGTAGCCCGCAAGGTTGTGACATAGACTTTACTTTTTAAAGATTATATTTATTTTCAGAGAGGGGAAAGGAGGAAGAGAGAGAAAGAGCAATGTGTGGTTGCCTTTTAAGCGCCCCCTACTGGGGACCTGGCCCACAACCCAGCATGTACCCTGATTGGGAATCGAACCAGGCCGGCTCTCAGTCCACTGAGCCCCACCAGCCAGGGCACGTTACATAGATTAAATAAGGTAATTTAATGTAACACCTGGTCTTCCCGTATGAAGATGCCTGTTCCCTGGTGAGCACTCAGAGAGGTGGATAGATGGTGTGTGAGGTGGGGCTGAAATTGAACAAGGAAAGGTGAGGAAGGAGGTGGAGATTAAAGCAGGATAAACGGATTCGAGAGCAAAGCCAGGGTCCAGAGGCTTGAGAGCCCGGACCAGGATGTTGGACTCGATTCCAGAGCAGGAGTGGGGACCAGCGAGGAGGGAACTGTCCAGGAGCCGGTCGGGATGGTGGGTTATGGGTTATCGTGCCCTGAAGGGAGGTCAGACTTGCTCCGGTTGGAGAGAGGTTCATGCTGTTGGCCGTGAACTTGGCAGACCAGCCAGCACCCACTGTTTATTACCAGAGTAGGAAATGCGAGACTAACGAGGGTCCTGTGGCTGGTGTCCTGCTGTGGAACTTCTCTTTTGCCACTTGATACAGCCATGTTTTCCTCCTGGCAGTCCCCACACTGTACCAGTGGGCGTGGGCTACGTGGGGCAGACGGGGTCCCTCAGAGACGCGCTCCGTGCTGAGCCGTGGAGACGGGCTAGGGGTCAGGTCGCTGCAGGGCCGCGAGGAGCCCCACTCTGGAATCCAGAGGCATCTGGGCTCAGACTCTGGCTCCGCCACATCCCAGTCATGTCCGCTGGCCAAGACCCAGAGGCGGAGGAGGTAGCTGGGCCAGGAAGAGATGAGAAAGGCCCGAACACCCGCAGTCAGGGGCCCTGGGGAGGAGGGAGCGAGCATTTAGCAGGGACTGAGCCAGGACGGGGCCGCTGGAGGAGCGATTGCGGCATTCGCTGCTGGCTGCAGAAATGCGGCGGCAGGCTGTTTTTTATTAACGCTGCCTTCTGTGACCTTGCTAAACTCTTTTTATTTTTAAGATCTGGAAATTTTTTATTGTAGATTCTTTGGTATTTTCTATTTAGGAAATCATTCAGCAAATAAGATAGCTTTGCGTTTTCCTCTTCAACCTGCACGCCTCATTGTCCCCGCCTCGGAGGGAGGGCACATCTGCACAGTCCCCTCTCCCTCAGGGCGGGCGGGTCCCGTTTCTGCGGAGCCTGTTAGCAGGAGGAGGGAGTTCTTTATCTTACTGATCGTTGCCTTTCTTTTCTTTCTCTTTTAGCAGAAGACTCAGAAAGTGGCGTTTACATGCGGTTCATGAGGTCACACAAGTGTTACGACATCGTTCCCACCAGTTCAAAGCTCGTTGTCTTTGATACCACATTACAGGTACGTGTGCCCAGTTGTCACGAATTGTTGGCATATTGTCCGGGCGGCTACTTGACGAGGTCCTTTCAGTCCGACAACACTAGCCAGCGCATACTGGCTCCACTCCACACCGGGCACTGTGCTGAGTTTTTGTCCGGATTCGGCATCTGCGAGGCAGCCTTGTGTGGAATGTGCCGTGACTGATGGGGAGCCTCGAGTTCGAGACCTAAAGCACCTAAATCACAAAGCTGACCCCACAGGTTCTAGGGCTGAACCCGCAGAGCTGGCGCGGTTCGGCAGGTGGCCCGCAGGCCGCGCGGCGTCAGCCTCCACGGCTCACGTGAGGCAGCCGCCTCCCGAGCACGTCCTGGCTTCTTTCTCCTTTCACTTAGATCATGAATTAATTTGAAATAATACTGGTTAGAAAAGGAAAAATTACTACAATGAATAATCCCCTGAGAGAACGTATTGACCCTGTTTAGCAGGAAATTTGAACTGGACCATTTTGGTGTTAACACTGTGCTTACCGCAGCTCAGTTTCTACCCATGGGACTTCTAATTACATGTGGAAAGTCCTAAGTAACGCGTTCAGTATAATATCAAATGTCATCTGTGTATACACGTATGTGTCTAGTGCCTATATCGTACGTAAATCTTGCCAAGCAGGACTGTCTTCCGTGGGGGTCCCAGTTGTTCAATTATATTTTCCAATTGTCTCTGGTTAGCATATAAAAATACAGCAGCTTTTGGCAGATTGACCTTTTTTTATATCTCCGGACTTAAATTTGCTTCAGACCAGGTAACCCTCAGGGCCCTTCTAAGACCCAAAGATTCTCCGATCCTTGGACGCGGAAGGCAGGCGATCCTCCAAACGCAGTATTACAGTGGGGGGAGGGGCAGTCAGTCGCTTGAAGACAACAAATACCGCCTGTATCGCTGTAATGACAGGCTTTAACAGCACGATAACTGGAATTACAAATTCCCAAAAAAAACTGCCGGGTCAGCCCACCCCGCCCTGGCTGCCACCCCCCAGAAGCCTGGCTCTCTCAAGAACCAGGGGTCCTGGCTGCCGGTTTCCCACCGCCAGGAGAGCGACAGCCGCCACGCCCCATCTCTGCCCTCGCTCAGCCTCTCCCTCGCCAGGAAGTTGGCTTTCGTCTGAATTTAGAATTTAGCCAAAGTGAGTAATCCATGAAAAATGCAGGGCCAGCCCGGCTGTTCCCTGTCGGTCAGCGGTTCCCAAGGAGTCCCTCCCGCCCCGGCTGTGGGTGTGGGCGAGGGACGGGAGCTGACGCAGCTGGGGCCAGTGGCAGGAGTGGGAGGAGTGGGGGGCATCGTCCTCGCTCTCCGGACCTGGCCGCCTCCGTCCCTTACACCATGGCCACCTGTGGTGCACGCCTGGCGTGTGGCTGGGTGGGTCAGATGACCCCCATTTACGGGGACACTCGGGCTGCAAAGACACGTGGCTTCTCCTCGTTAGTTGTTCCGTCTCTGCCGGGGCCCAGCAGGAGGCCAGGGGACGGCAGGGGCCTCCGGGGCAGCCCGCTGGGATTGCCGGCCACAGGCCATGCGGACCCGGAGCCTGTGCTTGCTGCAGAGGATTCGCTTGCTCTGGTCCCCTCTGAGGGCAGCCTTTCTGGGTCACTCAGTGAATGTGTCCGAGCAGCTGCTCAGATCAGTGCGTGTTGCTTCTGCAAGACCAGCCCAGCGTCGTGCGGCCGGCAGAGCACGCGCAGGACAGCCGCCCGGACTTCCCTTGGAGGGCGTCGGACGCCCCGGCCAGCGCCTCCCCGGTCCCGGAGCCCCGCCCTCCAGTTGGCAGGTGTCTCATGAGGCATCTCAACTGTGGCTGCTTCCTGACCGTCAGATCCGGTGAGCGGTGTCGCCCCCAGTGGCCAGCGTGCCAGGTGGCACGTCGAGACGAGCAGCATCGCACAGACGCTGTTCAGGCAGAGCGCACGGGGCGCCGGAGCCCGGGTGGGTGGCCGTGCCAGGCCGGGTCCGCGGAGACTGCTCAGGGCGCGGACGGAGGGGCGCATCCCAGCAGCCGCGGCCGGTGCCCGACACGCCCCGTCCGAGGGCCGCTCCAGCCAGTCCCCACGAGATCAAGCGGACAGTGACCCGTGGTCGCTCGGGCAGATGCAGCCACGGAGCAGTTTAACGGGGGGCGGAAGGGGTGGGCTTGCCGCTTCCCCTCCCCCGAGGGCAGAATGTCTGCGCAAGTGAGTTGGAATTTTTCTGCAGGGACGTTATTCTCTCCCCCGCCCCCGTTTATCATTCCGTCATTTATGGCTGCAGAGAGTTACGGGGAGATAGGTATGTACATACACACGTGTATACATACACACGTAGTCCGTTTGGTTACAGCTCGTTATACTTCATTTTGTGGCTCAAATTATTCTAATCAACGTGATTGTTAATTAGGCCAGTGGAAGAGAAAACAGCCCCCTGTGGTTGCGACCGGAATGGAAACAGCGTCCTGTTTGGTTGTGGACCTGTCCCCACCCCGTGGGCGCATGCAGAGCCTCTGGCTGTGGGTCTTCCCAGTCCGGGGGGAGCCTGGGGGCTTCTCCAGACGCCTGGCTCTCCCAGCACCGGGCTCCCCCTCTCCGTTGCTCCTCAGCGCCCCTCCGCCTGCTCTTTGTACCGGTGATGTCCTCGTTCCTCCTGCTTCTAGCTCGTCCTCCCTGCCGTGCCGGGATGACTCTTCAAGGGGACGCGGGCGGAAGTGTGTTTCCTCTGCTGCTGTCACAGCTGAGGAGTCACAGGGGAGCCCCACAGTGACAGGAGGAGGGTTCCCTGGGTGCTGCGGGGCGAGACACGGGGTCTCGGCTTGGATGGAGTGATGCGGGCTGGCTCTGTGGCGGAGTCAGAGGTTAAAGGTGGATGGGTTTTCGTAGGGAGAGTGGATGGTTAGCCCAGTGGAACTAGAGGGAACATTGTCACATAGAGGACCCCCCGCACCCCCCCACCCGCCAAAATGGCAGTTCAGAGACTAAGGAGTTGGCTGGAGCTGTAGCGGTCAGGTGGGGCTGGTTTTGCGGGGTCTTAGACCCCATTCCTGAGAGGCCGGGCCCTTCTTTATGCAGTGGAGAGCCATACAGATAGATCCGTAAATCCTTCTGACAAGCACTGATGTAAAAATTTAGTAAGAAACCAAATTGGACAGCTTTAAAGAGCTTTTAGCTGTTCGTCAGCATTAATGTTAACAGCCCCGCAATCACCCTGGCTGGTGTAGCTCAGTGGGTTGAGCGCCAGCCCGTGGACCAGGGGTTTGCAGGTTCAATCCCCAGTCAGGGCACTTGCCTGGGTTGCAGGCGAGGTCCCCAGATGGGAGCATATGAGAGACAGCCAGTCCATGTTTCTCTCACACGTCGAGTTTTCTCTCCCTCTCTTCCCTCTCTCACTTAAAGATAAATGAGTAAATAAAATCTTTTAAAAAAACTCCACAATCAAGTGAATGACTAAAAATCAGGGTAAAACTCTGTAAAAAGACACCACGTTCCCATGTTCTGGGACACAGACGTGCGGCTGGGCATTCGATTGCTGGGATGTGTTACAAGGAAGGCCCTGCTTACTCTTTGTATGTTAAAGGTGCCCACTTTATTTAACGGCCCTAGTTGGTTGTCTGGAAACCGTTATTAAAACGAAAATTTTAAAATCGGTAACAGTTTGAGCGAACTGTACATCAGTTGGAAAGAAGAAACTTTACGGCGGTCCTCGAGACCCCTGCAAGATTTCTCCTGGTCAGACGAGGTTGCCCCAGCCCCTTCTTAGCCCTGTCTGTACATTGATAACAGCTTGTGCCTTCTGTAATTGTGGAGAACTTTGTGACTGTAGTTTTAAATTGCTTCTCAAACAACTCCGTTCACGTGTTTAAAAAGCCGACAGGCTTCGTTATTGCAAAGCAGGGCGGCCACGCCCCAGCTGCAGTGGGACTTTTCTAAACACCTTCGGTGAAGGCGCTGCAAGTGTATCTTGTCCATCTAGAATATTCCGTGAGGTCTTTGGAGGGTGGGATCTTGACTCCCTCCATGATGTGTGGGCATGTCAGCGGTGCATGGCGGCGAAATTAAACCCGTAAATCTCCCTTTGCCTGCACACGGTGCAAAATTAAAGCATTTATTCTTTGCGGCCCTGAGTGCAATACCACGCTGACCGCCTTCGCCTCCGAGCCCAGCGAATCCCCGCCGTCCCCTTGGGAGCCCCAGCTCATCCCTCCCGGCACCCAGGCTCGGAGAGGGCTAGGGCCCGAGCCGGGAGCAGCCGAGCAAGGGCAGGAGGCGCCGTGCCTCGCTCCCGGCTTCCTCCTCTGCGGGTCTTCCCTCCTCCTGCCCAGGCGGGGGCGCAGCTCGCCCTCGGTTCTCACCGCCCTCTGCCATCCGGCGGCTGCCTGCTGGGGTTTCTGTCTCCCCGCCGTTGGCCTGCTTAGCATCGGCGGTGCGTGCCTGCTCAGGAATAACTGGTGAGCCCGCATGACCGGGTTCTGGCGTCCACGTTAAGGCCTATGTGTCTGCACACGTGTCTCTGCCTCCGTTAGAACCGTTCCTTCGAGCATCCGGTCCACAGGCCGTGGGGCTCGGGAGCTCGGCGGCGTGTAGAGCTTGCGCAGCAGGCGCGTCAGAGACGAGCTTGTGGGGAAGCGGGTTTCTCTTTTTTCTGTTCCTGAAAGAACAGTCGTTACATTTGAAGGTGAAAATTGGTCCCTGTCCATCTGAGGTGGCTCCTGAGAAAGTGAATGTCTTTTTCCTTCTGCCTGATCGTCTCTCTGCTTTGGATTTTTGGCAGCTGGTCTGGGATGTGCTGAGGTGTGGCTTTCTTTGTTTTTATCCTGCCTGGGATTTGATTCCTTTGGACAGATTCCAGATTTCTGTTGCGGGTCCCCCATCAGAAGGCAACTTGGAGAGTGTCCTCAGACCAATCCCACTGCACCTGTGGAGCTCCAGTCGTCATTTTATTTCCTGTCAAGAATTGTAGCTCCCCTCCCTCACCGGCCCCCGCAGCCCAGGCTGTCCTTGGGACTTGCAAATAGCAGCCCGCCTTGTATTATCCTCCTCACGGCCAGACTCAGAACTCTCAGGATGGGCGGCCTTTCAGCAGCTTTGGGCACTTCGACTTGGATGGGTGATCCTGGTCAGTGATGTTAATCCTGGTTTTCTCTGCTGGAGGGCGTCCGCCACTCCTGCAGACTTAGGCAAGCCAGCTGAGCAGATACTTCATGTGTTTTCGCATCTGTGTGTTTGTGACGTCTCCCCCCCAGTCTTTCCCGACATCCTAGGACCACAACCAAGGGCTCCCCGAGTGGCATCGGGTCGAAGTAGCCCGTTCAGACTGGCGCACCATCCCTGGGTGCCGTGGCCGTTAGACAAACTGTGGGTGTTTTTGCAATTCTTGCTATACAGGCTGTGGCTCAAAAATTATTTCATCAGTTCAGGGTGCCATTTGATTACTGTTTCTCCCCATGTCATCGGACCGGCTGCACACGCCCCCTCTTCCCAGGGCTCAGCGAGTTCACTCAGCTGAGGGGCGGACCCCCTGCAGTGCCCAGGCCGAGAGGCGCAGAGACTGAAGAATGAGATCCCCACACCCAGCAGGCGCCTGCGCAGGTCGTGCTGAGCCCGGGCAGAATCTGTCTCATTGAAGGCACAGACAGGTGCAGAATTACTAATCCTGGTCTGATTCGAAACCCCACGTTTCTGTAATTTTCTCATTTCTTTTCTTTATGCACAGGGGTTTTAGAATACAGTGAGTGAGAAAAGGATCTTTTTTTCCTTAGTTAAAAAGAGAGCTGTAAATAATATTTTAAAGAAATGCACTTCCCTGTCCCAGCTTCTTGAGTCAGAACTTAATTTTTTTTTTTTGGCTTATTTCTCTTTGATCTTTCCCAGTGCAACATACATTTTATATAACCATAATGTATAATTTTATCATCTGCATTTTTCACTGCCATATACCTTTTTTTTTTACTGCAATGTAGTCTTCATAATCTTACAACTTGATACTTTTCTCATCGGTGGTACGCCACCATTAAACCAGTTAGCTCTTGGGGGATGGCTAGTTTTCCAGTTTTCGGTACGAGAAATACTGCGGCATCGAACATCATTGATGCAGGAATCCTACTCCTAAAACTTTAGTCTGAGTACATCAGCAGAAAAAGCAAATGCTCAGACAGCATGAATATTTTAGTGATTTCCTGGTGCACACTGTGGCTCAAAAAACACTGTAACAATTCTTGGTACCACCGGTGGCTTACAGCAGCACAGCTATTAAGTGCTGTGATTAAAAAATACTGCTGAGTGAGCAGCTCTGAATGATGCTCTAAATTCACTGGATTTTTGGTTTTGGGGATACTCATGAAGTCGAACCATTTCCCCTATTTGCTCTCTGTATTGAGAGGCTCGTTGACAGCACTGGACCTTCAGCTTTTAATAAACCGGCACCTCTGGTCATTCTTAAAATTTTTTTGAAGATTTGTTTTTTTTTCAGAGAGGGGAAGGGAGAGAGAAAGGGAGAGAAACATCAGAGTGTGGTTGTCTCTCAGGCGCCCCCTACTGGGGACCTGGCCCACAATCCAGTCCTGTGCTCTGACTGGGAATCGAACCGGGGACCCTTTGGTTCGCAGGCCAGCACTCAACCCACTGAGCCTCACCAGCCAGGGCACCTCTGATCCTCCTTTACCTGCCGTGGTTCCCAGGCATGTTAGTCAGGAGGGTGTCGTGATATTCTACACGCAAATTTCACCTGAACGGACCTGTGACAGGCACACAAGGGTGTTCATGTGAAAGTCCTAGTAAATGACGTCTTTCATACCTCAGCCTCGGGGACATGAGAAAGTGTGCTTGCTTGTTTGTTACTGAACATGTGAAAAAAAATTTCATTTCAAGGAATCCAGTAGAACTTCAATGTTTTCAAGTGAGCTAAGAATCATGTATAGGAGAAATTAAACTCTAAATTTTAATTATTTTATATGGTTTTAATTACTGTGTAAAGTTTCTGTTTACAAGAGTCTTAAGCTACAATAAGAAAAAAATTTTGAAGTTAATTGTATAGTTTCTGTTTCAAAAAATAATCTCCAGTCCTTCTATGCCTTTAAATGATACAAAAGCACTTTTTCTAATGTTAATAAATTCAATTATTTTTAGTTTATCAAACTTAGAAAATTTAATTTTGAAGATAACCAATAAGATTTGGTTGACTGTTTTCGTCGACAGTATTTTCCTTCCTGACGTGTGGACTTAAAAAGTGTGTGTTGTTTCTCTTCTTGGTCTTCAGGTTAAAAAGGCCTTCTTTGCCTTAGTAGCCAATGGTGTGCGAGCGGCGCCTCTGTGGGAGAGTAAGAAACAAAGTTTTGTAGGTAAGCAGTGTGGCCCCCGAGAAGGATCTGAAATGGGAAACCCTAAAAGCACAAAGCCCAAGACATTTTAATGGGTGCTGGTTGGAATTCTCCCTAGTAAACACGTTAGCAAATTAAAGAACAATCTTGCTTTTAAATGTCCAGGTAAGATAGGGCCGCTAGTAAATTCAAAACCCACTTCTCTACTTTTATTGAGTCTCCTGTGGTTCGGCACCTTATTGTCTCTAGGAGATTTCATGTGCCAGTTCCTGTGGGCCCCGGGAGCGGGGTCCGAGGGGGGGCCGTGGCCGGACGTCTGTCTGTCGGCCACCTTTGCTTACGTTTACACACCTGTGGTCCCTCTCAGCTTCCTTTCTGGTGAACGCCTTTTGACAGGGCAAATGACATGACATGAACGTGATCAGTACCTTCGGTAAATATTGTTACACTATTAAACACCGGGTGACGTACAGTATCCAGACCCTGTGATTTCGCCTCTCGGAAGCCGTAGCAGACAGTGGGTGACATCCCTGTCGGGGTGCATCGCATCCTGATGAAACGACCCGTGTGTGTCTGCCTCCCCATCTCCGTTACGGTTTCCTCAGTTATGGTTTCCCGGGTTACAGTTTCCTCTTTGTAGTCCTGGCATCTGGCACGTAGTAGGCACTTAACACATAATGACTGCTGAACCCGGTGTTTCCAAAATGCTTCGCAGGAAACAGTCCAAGAGCCCCCAGAAGCAGCATGTTCCACAGCTTCTGGAACACTTTACCTTATCTTAAAGTATTTTAAATTATTTACATGTAGCTGCAAGTCTTTTGCGATGTTTTATAACAGTCATTAAGTTTTCTCTCATTGAATTGCCAAACACTGTGATTAATTCCAGTCACCACCGTATTAAATTTCAGCTAAATTTGTGTATCTTAGTTTGCTTTAGGTACGGGACAGATTAAGCACTTTGAATAATGTAGCGCACTGTGCTTGATCCGTGTACTCTAGGCGCTTGTCTTGTAACTGTTCCAGGGCTGCCTGTCATTTGAAAATTTTCTTTTATATTTTCCGAGTTCCCTACTTAACATGTAATTCTTTGTTCCAGGAATGCTAACAATTACAGATTTCATCAATATACTACATAGATACTATAAATCACCCATGGTAAGTGCCGGAAACCCTGTGTCTGATGGGGCCCGTGCCCTGTGGGCGTGTGGCAGGGTCGTGTGTGCGCGCATTTTAACATTCTGTGGGTTTGGGGTCTTTGGGGTTCAAGGGTGGTGCCAGTGGTTGATTTTTTTTTCCCCCCAAATGCATGTGATGTACAGGGAACCTCTGTGTAAGTCAGTCCTATGTTTAAAGCTTGAAGAAGGTAGTCAGTGTCAGGAGGCACAAAAGGCAGCAGCTCCTGGGTCAGCTTTCAGGAACTCCCGGGCCGGGGACTTCTGTGCGCTTACTTATCGCCCAGATGGTCCGTAGGTGTCCCTGAACTTACGACCTTGAACAGCACGAGAGGCACGTGCAGTGTGGAGACATGGCCTGGGCCCGGGCGTGAAGGCGGCCCCCGCACCACGCTCGTCCGGGTGGCCGTCCCTGCTGGCCACGTGCTCTCGGAGGGGAGAGGGCCCCAGGGCTTGCCTCACGGGCTGACGATGGGAGGGCGGCTCCGTGGACTTAACCCCCCGAAACATTGCAACAAGAACTACGTGTATTCCGTCGTTTGAAGAAGCAAAAATGAAAATTGAAGAGATTCAGTGCTGACATTTTCCTGCGAGTTAAAAACAGACTGCTAGTGGTTAGTTCCATAGCGGAACACCCTGGTCGTCCCTGGTCCAGCTGCCGTGTAAGAGAAGAGTTAGAAACCCACATACAACTTTTGTCTAACCTGACTTCATAGCTCTACCAACATTTTGGGTTTGGTTTTTGTTTTTGGGGGACGGGTCGTTTTGGGTTTTTTCCTTTGTTTCAGCAAAGCTAGAAAAGGACAGAATTGTATGCTATTTCTTTAGTACTATTTTGGGATCTAAAAGGTAAAAGGCAATCCAATTAATGCTGTTCTGACCATGTAATAGTCAATATTGCCCAACAATTAAATTTCTCCATAAAATTAGAAAATAAATTTCTTCATAAGGCATACTCTTAGAAGAAAATTTTCCCAAAGGCCTGTAGTTATTCCATATTTTTTCACATGATAGATGTGGTTTCTTAAATGCCACTAATGTAGGCAAATGCTGATTTTCCTTATAATGACCATCTCTCTGCTTTTGGTCTAGCAAAATCACAGAGTTCGATTATTCAGTGGGTAATTTTTATTAAGTGCAGCTCAACTCTGTATAACAAATCTCAGCAGTTGTCAATTAGAATTTCTAAAAAACAACAGTTGTGTCAAATAAATAAATAAATAAATAAAAACGCAATTGTGTCTAAATACACAGCCCAAAGGTTTTCTTAATACTTGAGGATACTTTTTTTTTTCTGTCCACATTTCACCTCATTTTCTAATTACGTGCAGAAAAATGCTACTGTGAAACCTATGGCTTATTTCATTTTCCAAGTACTCATCGTTAGTATATAAAAAGAATTGATTTTTATGTATTGACCTTTTATCCTGTAAGATTCACTTATTAGTTCTAACAACCTTTTCATACATTTGTTTGGATTTGTATCCACACCATTTATTGAAAAGCCTTTCTTTTTGTCATAGAATTGTTTTACTGCTTTAGGTGTGGGTCTGTTGCTAGACTCTCTTCCCTTCCATTTTTCTACTTGTCTACCTCTTGTACTATAGTTTCTTGATGACTTTTTTTTTTAAAAGCCTTCTGGTATTAATGAGAGTCTGTAGATCAATTTGGGGAGAATTGGCATCTTAACTATACTGAGTCTTGCAATCTATGAACATAGTATTTTTCTTGCCTTATTTCATTGGCTAGCACCTCCAGTGCAGCACTGAGGTCATCAGAGCAGGCTCCCTTGCCTGTTTTCCCACCTTGCAGGGGAACCATTCTGCATTTCACAGTTAACTGTGATGTTAGCTGTAGTTTTTTCATAGGTGCCCTTTACTGTGTTGAGGCTATTGCTTATCCATGTTTGTCAAAAGCTTCTGTCATGAATGGATGTTGAGTTGTGTCAGGTTCTTTCTCTGTATCTATTGAAATTATCATATTCTTTTTCTTCATTCTCTTAGATACTATTTTTTCAAATATTTTTCTGCCCCTTTCCCTGTCCTTTGGGGATTCCAGTTGCTCTGCTGAGACTCTGTTGTGGTGTAGGTTTTTCCCTCCAGTTTTTTTTTCTGCTTGTGCTTCATTTCAGATATATCTTTCTTAACTTCAGTCTCACTATTCTTTTCCTCTGTATATCTACTCTATTTTTTTTTTCCATTTAGATACTGTATTTTCTGCTCTAGAAATTTTTTTGTTTTGTTTTTTGTTTTTTACTTTTTTTGTTAGGTTCATATCTTTCTTTAATTCTTAGAATGTTATCTGTTGATTTAAATTTCTCTGCTAACTTCATCATCGTTGTCTATTCTGGGCCTGATTCTATTGACTGATTTTTCTCATATTTGTAGGTCACATTCTCCTACCTCTTGAAAATCTCACAGTGTCTAGTGGGTGCTGGACCTTGTTCATGTGTAGTTGAATGTCTGTATTGTCATTCATTAAAGAGTATTGGAATTTGTGCAGTGGTTAACTTACTCGCCGATCAGCTGGACCCTTTTGAGGTTTTTATTTTTTTAAGTCGTATTGCGATATAATTCATATAGCCTTTTTTCCACCCATTTAAACTATACACTTCAGAGGCTTTTACGATATTCAGTATTATGCAACCATCACCACAATCAATCTCAGAACATTTTCATTCCCCCTAAAAGAAACTCCACCCCCCTTAGGTATGCCCCCCGCGCCCCCTACCCCCACACACAGAGCTCTCTGTCACCTCCAGCCCCAGGCAACTAGTCATCTATTTTCTGTGCCTCTGGATTTGCCTCTTCTGGGTATCTCACATAAAGGGAGACATACAATACGTAGTTCTTTGTGACTGGCTCCTTTCACTTAGCGTGATGTTTGCAAGGTTTCTTCACGTTGTGGCTTATGTCAGTCCTTCACTTCTTTTTATTCCTGAATAGTATTCCATCGTATGGATATACCGCATTTTCCTTATCCATTCGCCAGTTGGTGGACATTTGAATGGCTTCCACTTTCTGGTGGTTGTGAATAGTGCTGCCGTGAACATTCACATGCAAGTATTTGTGTGGACCTGGGTTTTCATTTCTCTGGGGTGTATGCCTAGGAGTGGAACTGATGGGTCCTTGGTAACTTGTGTTTAACACTGTGAGGAACTGCCGGACTGCCAGACGTGTCCCCAGCGGCTGCACCCTTTTATGTCCCCACCAGCAACGCAGGAGGGTTCCAGGTTCTCCACATCCTCGCCAGCACTCGTTACGGTCTGCCTCTCTGGTTACAGCCATTCTAGAGGGTGCGAAGTGGTATCTTGTGGCTTTACTGTGCATCTTTGATATGCCTCTTTGGCTGGGGTGGAGGGTTGTGGCTTGATTTTAGGCTTTGTTAGAATGTTAGTTTCTACTCCGGCTGGTTTAGTCTCCCACTTCTGGGATTTCCCTGGATTTCCCTGGACTTCCCTGGACTTCCCTGGTTGCTTAACGGGGACTTCCCCCTCTTGCTGCTCAGAACGCCCACAGCCCCCAGTGTCCGGCTGTGCCTGGCTTCGTGGGCCTCACCCCGTGCGTGCCCAGCCCAGTGTCAGCGGGAACTCCAGGGGCGCTTGGCGCGGCCCCCGCTGCGCTGTCCGGGCCGCTGCCTCCTGGGTGGAGCCGGCCCTGTCTGTTCCAGTCGCCTCCGTCTGCCGGAGCTCTGATCCTGCCTCCTCAGCTCAGTGGGGCTGTCGCGGTCTTGCGTGGGGTCAGCTGCCCACATCACAGCCCAAAACGGGCCTCTGGAGAGAATGTGCTCATCACGGGGCTGTTTGTCTGCTTCCCTTCTGTTATCTAATGTCTGAAAAAAGTGGTTCTGCATGTTTTTTCCTGTTTTCTGGTTGTTTTCAGCAGGAGACTTAAGTGTGGCCAGCCCCATCCATTGCATCTTGGCTGGTAGAGCTCCATTAATATTTTAGCCGTACCTCTTGGCACTGTTTTTTGTTGTTGTTGTTGTTTTTGTGTGTGGCTGCTGAATGGATTTCAATATCAATGTTAACATACCACAATCTATTTAAAGGTAATACTAAGCTTTTTGTATAAAACATAATTCCGTTAAATCTGCCCCATCATTTCCTATCATTCTGAAGAACGCCCTCAGCGTTGAGTCATCCGGAGCTGTGGGTGAGGAATTCTCTCGGTTTTTATCCATCTGACAGTGTCATTATTTCCTCTTCATTTTGAAAGACAGCTTTGCTGTTTTATAAGAAACCGAGTTAACATTTTTTCGTTGAGCACTTTAAGAATGTAATTTCATTGTCTTCTCACACCCCCCCCAACACTTCTTCTGTTTCAAGAGTTTCTCTTTTTTTTTTTTTTTTTTTTTTAATTTGTATTCATTGACTTTTAGAGAAAGAGGAAAACATCACACCGTTGCCCCTCTTATTTAGGTAGTCGTTGGTTGGTCCGTGCATGCGCCCTGAGAGGGGATCGAACCAACGGTGCTGGCCTATCGGGGCGATGCTCTGACCAACCGAGAGCCACCACCCAGGGCAAGAGTTTGGCTCTAGCTCCGGATTTTAGCAGTGACCGTGATAGGCCTATATGGGGTTTTCTTCGTATTCATCCTGCTTTAGGTGTGTTGAGTTTATATGGTCTTCTAAGTTGGTTTTTCACATGATTTGGAGAGTTTGGGGCGGCTCTCTCTTCAAACCGCTTTCTGTCTCATTCTTTCAGTCCCCTCCCTCTGGGACTTCAGTACACGCGTGTTAGACCACGTGATGCTACGCCACAGGTCGCTGGGACTCCATGGACTGTTCAGCCTTTGGTGTCATTGACCTTCAGATAGATCATCTGCTGATTGACCGTAAATTTGCTAATTCTTCCTCAGGTCTTACTTTCAAACCTCATTCCTGTTGCATTTTCAGTGAGATTGGGAACGTAAACCTGAAAGATTTTGTAGCTTCTTGGTAAAATTTTCTGTGGCTGATTTTCCACAAAATGGAAATGAAACTTTTAAACACCAGTGTTCATGTACGTTTTGGAAAGAACTGCTCAGTAATTCAATATTATTTCAATAATTGGGTCAAGAATAGCAGCTAGGAAGTGGGAAGGCGGGCGTTGCGATTTGAGACAGAGCTGGAAACCCCAGAGGGCACACGCGTGGCGCGCCATCCGCGCTCCCGGCCCTGTCCCCTCTGCCTTCATGAGGACAGGGAGGCGGTCCCGACGTGAGCTGGCACACAACAGCCTCCTTTTGGCGCAGGGTTCAACCTCTTAAATCAGCGACCCTGCAAATCCCCCATAGCGTCGGAAGGAAGGAACGAGTGTATGTGTCCGTGTGTGTGTGAAAATTTCAGCATATCGGAAGTGTTCCAAGTTAAATTAATGAAAGTATATTAGACTGGTTTATTATGTTTTAGATTAATAGAACATTTATCCTCAAAGCAATGCGGAGCATTTTGTTTCTCATTTATATTTCCAGTGTTGAATTATCTTGATTGTTTCCACCTGCTGAATTACAGGACTCAGCAGTAGTTATGAAATAATTCTTCTTATGTTGTATTAACATTTGTAAATACGAATTCTTATTTTCAGGTACAGATTTACGAATTAGAGGAACATAAGATTGAAACATGGAGGGGTAAGTACTGTTGAGTGTTTAAGACCTTTTAATATCAGAAAAGAACATCCCACTTAGTGTATAAAATGTTTTAATTTCACAGATCCTTTTCTCTGCTTCATGACAAACTACATGAATTAAAACATTTTTTCAAGATTTTGTTTTTGAGAGAGAGGGGAAGGGAGGAAGAAAGAGGAGGAGACAAATATCGACGTGCCAAAGAAACATCTATCAGTTGCCTCTCACACGCCCCCGGCTGGGGGCCTGGCCTGCAGCCCAGGCCTGTGCCCACGCCGGGAATCACACCAGGGACACTTAGGGTTGCGGGCCAGCACCCAACCCGCTGAGCCGCACCGACCAGGGCAGACATTTATTTCTATCTTAGTTTTGATAGCGTGCCCTCCTGCTATACAGTGTTCATTCTGTTCAATAGCAATTTATGGAGAACCTATAGCAAGTCTTTACGCTAAGGCTGGGAACGCGAAGATGAGTAAGCTAACCAATGCCCACGTGTCTGTCCCCACCCCACCCCCGGCCCCTGTGGAGCCACCGTTTCAGCACAAAGTATGACCCCCCCAAAGATTTTCCTTGGAGTAGAAAATGCACCAAAGGACTGCCTAAGGTGACCAAAAGCAAGGGTTTGTCCTTACATGAATTTATTCATCATCTCTGTACAAATCAGGGAGAAACGCGGAACCAGCGAGCCTTAAACTGGGTGGCTGGGACCAGCTCACGTGAAACTAGTGTCCAGTTGCTCCTTGTCATTTGTAACATTGAACTCACCCTCCGTAAGCACAGCCCCCGCTTCCGAAACGGAGCCCGCTCTGAGCCCAGATGCAGGCCTGGCGAGCTGGTCTACGTTACCGAGGCCCGGCAGCTGGGCCGGCGGAGGGGCCGCTTGTCGGCAGGACCAGCGTAGGCGCCAGCCTGGCGCGAGTCGGGTTGAGGAGCCTTTGTAGGCGTTCCGGGGAGCGGGGGGTGCTTGAGGGAAATGGAGGGGCGCATGGGAGGCAAATTTTGAATTTAAAATGGAAACTTAGCTTCGTACTTTTCATAGTCCGCTTGGTGTGATAAGCAGCCTTTGTGACTTGCTGTGAAATCTGAACAGCTGTTAGAATTCTCGGAAGGGCTCGGGGACTTTAATCCCACGTGATTCAGAAGTGTCATTGAGTGATACATTTGACATATGGTGGCTTTATGAAGTCAAATGAAACAGAGTCTGCACGGTGGGCCGTATCTTAGCGCTGCCCGTTACAAAGTGAACGCACGGGGGCGGGCAGACGTAGGTGAGCATCAAAAACAGAGCTTATGCCTGTGTTATTTATTCATAATTATAATATTTGTACTACACCTTATATTTGTATTACACTGTGCACCTTAACACCAAGACAGTTATTTGTTCCCAAATTCTGGTAGACCAGATTTGAGTGTGTTTACATTTTGACATTACGTGGTTCTTCGGTAGTAACAATAATAATGTCAGACAGCCTGAATGCCTTGTGTATGAAAGCCTCAGTAAATTATTTCATTGATCTTTGCAAAGATAATTTCCACACCCTAGAAAGAGCCCCAGGATGCAATGAATTTGAGCATTTGATAAACCATAAGACCACTTAAAGAACAAAATGGGTTATGATTTTCTGTTTGTTTATTTATTGATATTTATTTTTAGAGGGGAAGGCAGGGAGAAAGAGGGGGAGGGTACCATCAGTGTGTGGCTGCCTCTCACGCGCCCCCTACCGGGGAATCGAACTGGTGACCCTTTGGTTCGCAGGCCAGCGCTCAATGTACTGAGCCACCTCAGCCAGGGCTCGGTTTATTCTTTAACTTAAGGAAATCGGTCTTGAAGCAGCTCGTGAAGGACTCACATCAAGGGTGAGAGCGGCTTTCCAGCGGCCTCTGTGGCATTGCTGGTGGCCGCTGCCCTGACCTCTCATTTTACAGTGTCCCTTGTGATACTATTTTTTAAATATTTAATTTTCCCACAAAGGCAAAACCCTGAAAACGGCTTGGAAGCTGTTTCCAACAGCCGTAAATGTAATCAACATGATAGTTTTCACTGAATTAAATTCAATTTGGGTGTTTAATGATCATCTATAAATTGAAGGGTATTTTGATTATGTAATCATTACAAACAGCAAATGTGTTACTAATTACATATTTTCTTTCTATAAATACAGAGCTTTATTTACAAGAGACATTTAAGCCTTTAGTGAATATATCTCCAGATGCAAGGTAAACCTGTGACGTTTTTCTCCTTTGAAAACCTTCATTCAGATTCATCGGTTTTGTTACCATAATTGGTTGGTCGATTTTTAAAATCCAGATAAGGGCCAGCCTCCTTAATTCCAAATATTAAACTCAGTAAATCTAGAGACAGTAGAAGTCACAGCCGTTGTTGGTGCAGAGGGCTGGTCCCAGACCAGAGAGACGGCCATGCTACGCAGTCCTAAACCCGGTCCCCTGCGGCGAGAACCGTGCGGGGAGCCTGTTACAAGCACAGGTCCCTGGGCCCTCCTCCCACCCGACGAGCTCGGTCCGCGGAGAGCAGTGCCCGAGAACGCGCCTTAGAACAACTCCGCCAGGGGTTCCCGTGCACCCCAGTGTTGGAAAATCAGTCGCTGTCAGACACCGGTCCGGGAGCGGTCCTCAGGGAGGGTCGCAGAGTCTCTGAGACCATCCTTTTCGATCTCGGCCTTCCGGGGTGGCTCTGCTACGTTCCCACGCTCGTGCAAAAGCATTCGTCACTAGACGATACTAGTGAGAAAAAGCGGAATATTGATGTTTAGCATTTTTATTTCCAAGTCCCAACAAACAGAGGCACCTGCCATGCCTCCTGGTCAGCAGTCGCAGGAGAGGCCGGCGGCCGCAGGTGCCACTGCCGCTGACAGTGTCCGCCTCCCTGGCACCTGGGGCCTGTCATTTCTCAAGTAAAAGCAATAAAAGCAAAAGGCTGCCAGAGATATGTCGCTCACAGTCAGGTTTGAGATTTTTTTAATGCAGATTATGGCGGGGGGAGAAAAAAACGTTTACTGAGATCTCCTATTTAAAACTTTTCCAAACCACCGTTTTAAGTCCGTCAACATCGTATGATTGTAATATGAAAACAACTGAAAATGCTTTGAAAGCAGGGGTGGCCCGAAGTTTCCTAATTTTTCCTGAAAGCCTGCTAACCACTCTGATGGCTCTTCCCGCAGCCTCTTCGATGCTGTATACTCGTTGATCAAAAATAAAATCCACAGATTGCCAGTTATTGACCCCATCAGTGGGAATGCACTTTATATACTTACCCACAAAAGAATCCTCAAGTTCCTCCAGCTTTTTGTAAGTAGTTTCTAGTGTTTCTAAAGACATGGTCGCATCTGCTTGAACTGATTGACTTCAAGTGCGTTGGGTCCCGTTGCCCTCAGAGAAGAAATTGTTAGGCTTGAGGTCTCCGTTTCTCACTTCGGTTTCTCAGCCTGTTACTGTTTGAACTGTACATTTTCAAAAGTTGATTCCAGTTAAAAAGCAACTGCTTTTCAGGGCAGGTGTGAGAATAATCAAAACCCTTGGAATTCTCTGTTTAAATTAGAATATTTCATCATCTAAAATATGAGAGGAAATACGTCAGTTTGCAAGTCAGTCTAATTAAGGAACTGCTGCACAAGGTAAATTGAGCCACTTATTTATAGCAAATTGCCTTAGGATGCCTTCTTGGGATCATGGTTTTGGAAACCTGCGTTCACAAAGTACTGTCCCCAGGATTAGCTTCTTATTATTAACTGCAGCAGGGAGAGGAAAACCCAAAGCAAATAAAATTTTGGCAAGAGAATAATACCATGTTGGTCCAAATTAGGGCTGTATCACCTGCCGGTTTTCTCCACCGCTTTTGAAATGGGACAGAGTCGTCATCACCCAAAAGTGAGACCCTGTTTGGTCAGCGAGTTTCGCAGAGGCTCAGAAGAGACAGAGCGTTCATGAGAGAGCCCTCAAGTGTTTCCTCTTAATGATAGGCCCGAACTTGACTTCTCCTAGTAAGGGCGTGCACTGGGTTTGAGGTTACAGGTAGCTGGTCAGCTGGAGCCAGTAGGTGGCCTCGTTTCACGGTGCAGAAGACACCATGTGAAGAGTTAAAAGAAAAAAAAAATGTTAACAGACATTTAAAAACTGCATCCGATTAGCTCTCCCATTCGCCTGCCCGCAGCCGCAGACCAGGCGGTGGCAAGGCCTTCGGGTGGGGGCGGGGCGGGAGCCGGCCCTGCTCGGGGAGGAATGGCGCCCACCCCGCTGGCGGGCGCGGAGGGTGCCCGTGCCCCGCACGCCAGGCCCACATGGCAGTAGTTCACGTGGGGAAGTAACGCTCTTTGTTTAAAGTAATGCTGAGGAAGAAGGTAGGAAGGAAGAGGGTCATTTACCAAAAAGCATGAGGCCTGGAAGAAGAGTTAGAGCTGTTGTGGGTCAGACTTCACACCGTGCGGGCTGGAAACGCAGTCGCCTTGGGTCTGAGCTGTACCAGGACCGGGGCGGGCATCAAAGGCCCGCTGTCTTACCCATTTAGCCCTTAGAGAAAATATTTTTAAATAATGCTCATCAGGAGAGCGCAACGTTGCCAAGCTGTACGATCAGTCAGGCACTGCCCTAAGGACCTCACGTGATCGATCTGACCCTCGCCACCCCGCTCTCAGGCATTCCTGTTACGCCCCTGTACCGAGCGAGGCTGGTGGCAGGTGTGGGCCTGCGGGCCGCTTTCCCAGCCCCCAGTGCGCAGGCGCAAAGTGGCCGGGCGCTAGGCCCTGCCCACGGCTTTGTCGCCGCGGAAGGAGCAGTGGTGTGAGACTGGCCTTTGGTGGCTTCCTCCTAGGACAGGGGAGGCGGTCACCCTGCTGGTACTGCCTTATATTTGGGCCAATATGGTAATTAGAGCCATGCTGTTAGAATTGCCGAATTGGTAGAGGTTTTCAGATAAAAATACAGAGTTTTACAGAAGTTTCAGAACCTGACTTTTACTGAGTTGTGGGCTCACTTTCTAAGAAAAAGGAGCGTTCCCCGTGGAGAGAGCTGACCGTTAGCCTAAGCGCGCAGGATGGATCAGGGGTTGGCCTGCAATGGGCTAGGTGACCTAATAGGTCTTTCTTTTTTTTTTCTCTAAATTTCTAGGAGTCTCATGATTTGAATATTGATGAACTCTTTGACTTGAACATTTTGTTTCTTCTAATTGTTCATCTTTTCCTGATAATTATAAGGTACACCAGGAGGATGGAATCAACCATACCCTTTATAAAAGGTGGATTTTTGAAACCATAGACCTTACTTTGTTTTAGTCAAACATGATCCTAGACTTCTCTCTTCTGACTTCTCCCTCCTCCTTTAAAACAGCCGTGAGAGGAAAAAAAAGAAAGTTAACTTTTAAAGGTTCTTTTAATTCTGTTCAATTGGCTTGTCCTCTGTTCCTAGTAGACAAAAAAATTGGATCCCTCCAAAGGCGAGGTCAGGATGTGGATGGAGACGGGGTGGCGTGAGGAGGGGCCTAGCCGCCCAGACAGCCACCGCCAGGCACGGGGGTGTGGACTCGTGGGGGCTCTTAACATGAGACCTAGTGAGGACCGCAGGACCAGGAATTGCACGTGAATACTTAGAGTGACGGGGTCTCGGTGGCTTCTGGGTTTTAGTTCCCAAAAAGACCGGTTATTCCCGTCTGTCCTCTTTTCCACTGGGTGCAGAGAAGGGGAAGAATGTTACAATGTGAATGCTTTGCGATATTTTACTAAGTAGATAAATAGAATAGACCTATCAACTGGTTTGAACGAAGGACAGTTCTTAACGTGTGACATTTCCACATTAATTCAGACATCCGGGTAGAATGTTAGAGGAGACTAACTTTAATTCGTTGCACTAGTTTCTCATTCGTGTGGACATGTGAACGTGGAAAGGGCCTGAGGGGACTCTAGAGCATGTGTCCTTGTCCCCCGTGTAGATGTCTGATATGCCAAAGCCGGCCTTCATGAAGCAGAACCTGGACGCGCTGGGCATCGGTACCTACCACAACATCGCCTTCATCCACCCGGACACGCCCATCATCAAAGCCCTGAGCGTGTTTGTGGAGAGACGAGTGTCCGCCTTGCCCGTGGTGGACGAGTCAGGTCTGTGTTGGCCGCGGGCAGAACCGACAGTTCGGCTCAGCGGCGTCAGGCTGCTGTCACGCAGCCCAGGCTCCGGGGGTGTCCACCCTCTTGGCGTCCCTGGGCCACACTGGAAGAAGAAAAGTTGTCTTGGGCCACATGTTAAATACGTCGTGACCTATAATCACAAAAAAAACTCATAACGTTTTAAGCAAATATGTGATTTTTTGGGGGGGGCCACATTCATAGCCATTCTGTGCCCCATGTGGCCAGCGGGCCACAGGCTGGACACCCCTGGATCCAGCCAATGCGCTGAGTGGGGGAAACGAACGCTTAGGCCGGTGGATAAGCTCGGCAGCAAGGAGCGCTGGAGACAGTAAGAATTGTAAACCGGCTCGTCTGCTCTGTTCTCATTAAGATGTGATCGCGTGTTCATTTCAGAAGAGACGTGTGTATTTTCTTTAGCAATCTGTACTTTTTAATCATTACCTAGTTATGACTGATTTTAAATGTTATTTTTTGTTCCTAAGGCACTTTTCTAACATATATTTTCATTTTTAGGAAAAGTTGTGGATATTTATTCCAAATTTGATGTTATTGTAAGTATTTTCAGTTTTGTTAAATCTGTCATCTAGAATGCACTTAAAGCATTAAATAATTTGTTCTTGTGGTTTTCCGTGATTGAATGATTTCTGGCTTTTTTTGAGTGTAAAGATCTTAAGAGGGAATTCCATAGACTCCCCGTAGCAGTTGTTCTTGAAATATTCATTGGTTTAGCAATACATATCAGTATCTTCTCTAATTCTTCCACCTTTTCAGTACATGTAGAGTTTATCCATCACTGCAGCATGTATATGTATTTTAAATGATCATTTTTCTCTGCAGGGACATTCTTTATTCCCCCAACAGGCACATGCTTAGTGCACATGAACTGGGGGCACATGAACCTGTAGCCATTCTTTGATGATTGGGGACAGCCTGTCCTACAGGAGACAGCAAGTGGATTAAACAGTTACGGAAAGTCCCGTTTGAATCCCTGGGTTAACTCCACAAGGTTGACCGTGGCGCCGCATCTTCCTACGCGGTGCTTTTTCTCCTCATTCATTTTAAATTCACTTCCTGAGAGTCTGCCATTATTTCTCCGAAAGGGAACTGAAACTTTGGCAGCCCCATCCAGCTGCCTCAAAGCCTCTGTTTCAGCCTGTCCTTTTTAACATCATAGACGCAAAAAAAAAAAAAAAAAAAAAATGCTTATTGGAATTTGGTTGAGTGGGAGCTGCTCAGATTAACGAGAGCCCGAGGGGCCCTCCCCAAGCCCCTGGCACTGCTCGCCCGAGGCTCATCCGCCTCTCAAAAGCCTGCTTATCCAGGGGGAGCCGTGCAGGGTGAGGATGCGAGGGGGTCTTTAGAGGGACACGCAGGCAAGTAGCAGGGCGGCTGCATGAGGTCTGCCGTGCGGGCTGCAGAGATCGCTGCGCGGAGGACAGCGCCGGCGGCATCTCGCAGCCTGTGCCTGCCGGCTCTGAGCAACCATGAACGGGTTCAAGATCTCGTGGCTCTGCAGTTACTCACTGGATTCATTAGCGTGAACTTAAATGAAAGTGTGTAATTCATTCTCTTACTTTATTACAGAACCTTGCTGCTGAAAAAACATACAATAACCTAGACATCACAGTGACCCAGGCGCTGCAGCACCGTTCCCAGTATTTTGAGGGCGTCGTCAAGTGCAATAAGCTGGAAATACTGGAGACCATTGTGGATAGAATAGTGCGAGCAGAGGTGAGATGGCTCTTCCAGGCTCCTCCCGCCCCCGCCCCCGCCCGCCACACGCCGCCCTAACCCGGCGGCTGGTGCCTCAGGGCTGCGAACCTGGGGCCGGCCCGTCAAGGTAGGTGGGGTGGCGCAGGTCTCCCTGTGCCAGAGACTAGCATGTTACCTAGGGCATCGCAGGCCGTCTCTGAACGTTCCTGATGGCATTTGTAAGTCCTGATGTCATAGTTGAATCAAGTAAACTGGTAAGATGCTCAAAAAAATACATACTCGAGAAAACCAAAGTCCCCAGAGCTTTACGTTCCCTACGGGTATTTATGAATTAGAAGTTAAAAATACACAGTTGCATTGTTTTAACAAGGTAAATGATTAAATGTATTCTGATTGTTTTAAGTTAAAGTAATTTCTCTCTTCCCACCAGTACCTCTGTCTCCTGACTTAGGTAAATAGTAAATGTCGAGTAACCGCGTCTCCTCACCCTCGGCGCTCACACCCGCTGCCTGCAGGGTTGTCGAGCGCACTTAGCATAACTCTCTGACTCAGATGAGGGAGAGCGTTTCATAGCCCATCTAATTCAGTACACCCATCCCTGAAATCATTTCTTTTCTTTCTGGTTAGGGAGAGAAATAGCCTGCTCATCACTCTTTCGGGCTGAAGGATGCAGCTGTGTTCATTCTGGAAACAGCCCCTAATTAGGCAAAATCAGTCCCTAATGATGTCTGTTTTGACACTCATTCTAAATACACGGATACCGTCCAAGAAGAAAAGTACCCGATTGTTTTTTAGGCCGATAACGGGCAGCTACCTGGCTTTCTGAACGTTTCACGTGGAGTAGGTGCCAGGCTCTGTCTCCTCTCTCGGCGGCCGTCAAGATAGGGCCCAGCCAGCCCTGTTGCCGCCGCACGTGGACAAGCCGCGCCCTGGCCTGGCCTCGGCAGAGGTGACGCCCCAACTTCAACCGTCATGGCTGTTAACGTGTTTCACTGGAATCTCACTAGGGAGTCTTTCCTTTTTCTACCTGCATGTAACGTCCATCCATCACTACTTGTTCTGCAAAGGAGCCTCATTGACTTAAGAATATGTCATTTTATTACCGTTCTTAGAAGTATGGGCCTTTTGAAGATCATTAGCAAAAATAGATAAGGCCTCCCTCCTATTTGTTAGCACCGTGGACATCCAGACGGTAGAATCCTTTATAATGATGAAAAGTCACATCATAGGAGAATTTCGTTGCTCTGAATAAACACGACCCCTGTGCTGCTAAGAGGAAAGCTCAGTTACGCGTAGCAGTACGGCTCTCTGTGCGGGTACGCGTGCACACATGGAAAAGCAGCCGGGGGGCTCGCACCCCAGCCTTTACTTGTCTCCCCCTGGCTGGCCGCGTCCTGGTGGTGCCAAAGCTCCTCTCTGTCCCTAAGCACTCTGGCGTGGCCCCATGTCTCTGTCAGATAGAGGAAAGTAGTTGGCTTGCCCTTGAAGTTCATCTGGTGAACAGTAGAAATTTCATTGTAATATGAAACAGGTCGTTGAAGAAAATAAAGACGTAATTCATCTGTTTCTTAAGTTAACCATCCTGGCTTTTTTCCTCATTAAAAGCATTTCTTTCACCAGATGACTTCTCAGGAAGGGGCAAAGATTGTTTTTTAGCTTCGGCATATTGAGTAGTTTGACGGGAGAAGGGTATACACTATCAGCAATGACTCAGCTTATTTATGTGACCTACATGTCACACTGGCTTTTGGCTCTCTCAGAGGAGGGGCAATCATAAAGCTGAGGCTCAGCACCAGAAAGCACGAGAAAGCACTTCTAGTAGCCATTTCTGTTGAGTAGAATTGATTCTCCAAGTGAGATGGTTTCCCCTTGACCTTCAGTAGCTCAAAAGATAGTTAACGTTAACAAACTGTATAGCTCTGCCCCAAATGTAAACCATTATTTTAATTTAAAATTGTAGTTATTAAATAATTGTGGTGTTACAGGATAATTGAAGAACCCAGATTTTTTAGAGAAATTGTAAAAGAAATGTATGTTGATTAACATGAGAAAGATGGCAGTGATTTTTTTTTTTAACCTGAAGCAAACTATGACACAAAAGCATCACCAACCCAAGTATCGCCGCGGACAAACTGTCGAGAGAGCCAAGGTGGCAGGGGCTAGGAGGGCCCTGAACTCACCCCGGCCCACAGGCACACTCAAAAATACACTTAGGAGTATCTAACAAGGTCTGTCCAGAAGGTATCCAGTTATATATTAAAAATAGACATTTGTTGAAGATACAAGAAACATTGTACGCAGGGCAGTGACACCTCAGTCCCCATCAGAGAGGCATCTTGGGACCTCACACAGTTCTCCCCATCCCCGCCAACTGCTCTGTTGTATTTTCCTGAATCTCATCGATGTTCTGAAATCTTTTCCCTTTCAGAGGCGATTTTAGTTTTGGGAAAAGCCAAAAGTTGCAGGGCGCCACATCTGGGCCATAGGGGGGCCGAGTCACCAGGGTGACTTGATGTTTTACCAAAAAACTGAAAGAGCCATGGTGCCTAAGCCAGTGCATTGTCACGATGAAGCTGCCAGTCCCTAGTTGTCCGTAGCTGTGGCCTTCGGAATCATCCGAATAGTCTCCGCAGAAGGGTGTTCAAACTAAACACAAAATCTGATGCAGAGTCATTGCCCTACTCACTCAGTCACCTTGAATGTGACAACCACATAGCACACATGCTCACTCAACGGTGTCTGCCACCCCCACTGACTAGTACAGGGAGGTCGTCATTGTTCACACGTGTACATTCCAGTCCCCTCTCCTTGGCTGCCAGGGTCCATGGATGTTGCACAAACTGTCCTTGTTGTATTTACAATGGCTGAACTTTTTCCAGACAGCCCTTGTTTTGGGGCAGCTTTTGAACACCACACAAGAGCCAGGGAGCAAATAGAGAAGGCTGGGAAATTGCAGGGACTCTCCGGGGTTGGAGGTGGCCGTGAGCACCACTTATTTATGTCCCCATCCGCCTCAGTATCCAGGTGTTCTGGCCCACCTGTAATGTCACCACAGTGCATTCCCAGGCGCACTGCCCAGAGCCCATTACAGCCCCCCCAAAAGGGAGCGAACAGCATGAGTGGGGTGTCCCACGTTCACCTGGCCTCCCTGCCCAGAGCCATTCTAGGCTGGCAGGCCCAGCTCCCACCAGCCGGCCGGAACCACCTGGCGCACAGCCTACACGGAGGTCACGCCACTTTTTTAAGACTGAGAGAGCTGTTGCCTGATTCATATAGGCCAACTTAGAAAACCAAACAAAATGAAAAGGCAAGACTACCTCTAATGAAGTTAAATCCCCAGGGGGGGAAAATAACCTAAGGAAATAAGTAATTTCTCTGATAGACAGTCATAAGGATGCTCACCAAACTTGAGAGTGGAACAGAAGAACTTAAGGACAAACTTCAACAAAGAATTAGCATCATAAAGAACTAATCAGAGCTGAAGAATACAATAGCAGAAATGAAAAACGCTGTAGAAGCGTCCGCAACAAATCAGTCACTACAGAGGAATGGGCCAGGGACCCGGGAGGCAGACCCGCGGCGACTAGTCAATCAGCACAGCAAAAAAAAAAAAAAGGATAATTTAACAAAGCTCGGGGAAAACATCAGGCAAAAAGACACTCCCAGTAGAGGGACCCCCAAAGAAGACGGGAAGGAACCGAAACTTCACTTGAAGAAATAATGGCCAGAAACTGGTCTCACATGGGAAAGGGAACAGACGGCCAGGTCTGGAAGCACAGAGGGCTCCAGACAAGATAAGGCCGGAGTCCCACACCGAGACGCATGTTCCTCAAAGTGGGAGAAAAGGATGAAGAGAGAATGTCTAGGCAGCGAGAGGGAAACAACTAGTGACGTGAGAAGGAACCCCAGCAAGGCCGTGTATGAGCCGATTCCTCAGCAGCAGCTTTGCAGACCAGAACGGGGCGGCAGGACGTGGTCCATAAAATGCTGATGGAAAGGAATCGACAGCCTAGGATACTCCTCCCAGCAAGGTTCCCATTCAGAGGAAGGCGGGAGAAAGGGTATGCTGGGACAAGCCATGGAGGTCATCGCCATTAAACAAGTTTTTACAAGAAATATTAAAGGGTTTTTGTTTTTTTTTTAAGCAGAGTCCATAACCACAAATAAGAAAATATGAGAAAGGGGGAAAAAACCTCCCAGGTAAAGGTAAATAATAAGTACAGCAAGTCGCATATTTAAAAAGCTACAAAAGTTAAAGACTTCAATGTAAGACCTGAAACCATGGAACTCCTAAAAGAAAACAGGCAACACACTCACATTGGTCTTAGCAGCTCTTTTTCTTTTGGCTAGGTCTCCTTGGGCAAGGGCAGCAAAAGAGAAAGTAAACGCAAGGGACTTCATCAGATGACAAAGGTTTTGCGCAATGAAAGAAACCACCCACAAAACCAAGAGGCAGCCTACTGAGTGGGAGAAGATACTCACAAATGATACATACAGTGATGGGTTAAAGTCCAAGTTATATAAGGAACTCACACAACTCAACAGTCCCCCCCAAAAAATAAATAAATCCAACTTTTAAATGGGCAGAGGACCTGAATAGACACTTCTCCAAAGAGGACCTACAGATGGCCGGCAGGTACATGAAAAGAGGCTCCACATCACTAATTATCAGAGAAATGCAAGTAAAAACCACAGAGAGATACCACGTTATACCTGTCAGAATGGCTATTATCAATAAGCCAACGAACAAGTGCTGGCAAGAATGTGAAGGAAAGGGAGCCCACTTGCAGTTGGCAGAATGCCAGTCGGTGCAGCCGCTGGGACAGCGTGGCGATGACTCAGAAAAATAAAAACAGAACTGCCTTGGGGTCGAGCGGTTCCACTTCTGGGTATTTATCTGAAGAAACTGAAAACACAAATTACAAGTTAAATTGTAATTTGAAAAGATGCTCGCATTCCCCCCGCCGTTTAGTGCAGCGCTATGTACAAAGGCCAAGGTACGGAGCCTCCGACGTATCCGTCGACAGGTGAGTGGAGGGAGAAGATGCACCTGTGCAATGGAATATTATTCGACCACTAAAAAGGAATGAGAGTCCGCCACCTGCAACAACATAGGTGGACCTAGAGGGTCCTGTGCTGAGTGAAGTAACTCAGAGACACACACATACCGTGCGACCTCACTTCTATGTGGACTCTTAGACCCATAGCTACAGAGGATAAGCTGTCACCATAGGGGAGAGGGGTGGGAGGCTGGGTAGACAGGAAAAACAAGATACAAAATACAAAAACAATTTCTCTTCTTTCCACCTCCTTCCCGTGCCCCCCATTTTGTGTAGCAGGGGCAGGGGTGTGAAACTTTGACACAGGTCCCCAAGGTCACAGATGGGCAATGAGCGCTACAGCGTTTAACTCAGGAGCACGATGCTTGCCCATCCCTTTCCCACTGTAAGGGTGCTTTGTTATGGCAGCACCGCAGACCCGTATCCACTTGTTTATAAAAGATACCCAGGTAAGGAGATGGACTAAGACCTACTGTGTTTTATCGTATGTGATTATTAACAGACGGACTTCACAGGAAAAACGGTACAAAATAAAAAGCAATCTAAGGACGGTGACCTATTCATTTCGGTGCCCATTTGGACTTGTCCCATGTGAAACAGGATCTGAGAGTTATTAGAAACTAAAGTACTTCTAAAAATTAAAAACTAAGATAATATAGTTATATTGTACTTCATGTTTTGAGTTGTGCCTTTCACATACTAATATGTATGTGAAATTTGAAATTTGAAAACTCAGTGGGACGGGGCTGGCTAATTTTTCTTAAAAGTAGTCAAGGAGCCCTGACTGGTGTGGCTCCATCGGTTGGGCATCACCCCGCAGAGCCAAGGTTGCGGGTTCAATCCCTGGTCAGGGTATGTGCCTGGGTTGCAGGTTTGGACCCCTGTCGGAGCATGTGTGAGAGACAACCAATCAGTGTTTCTCTCTCTCTCTTTCTCCCTCCTCTTCTCTCAAAAATAAGTAAAACCTTAAAAAAATAAAATAAAATAAAAAGATAGCCAAGCAAATCAGCATTGCATTTGAACATGGGAGCCAAAGACCTTCCTGTGGTTCTGCACTCTGTTACTGCCTTTCATGAGTGGGAGGGAAGCATTGAATAGCACATGAAAGATAGTTTTTTTCTCTCTTGCATTTTGAAACTTTGTAGGTAACTTGCTCACATGACCTCCTTTTCTCCTGCCCGCAGGTCCATCGGCTGGTGGTGGTAAACGAAGCCGATAGTATCGTGGGCATTATCTCCCTGTCGGACATCCTGCAAGCCCTGATCCTCACCCCGCCAGGTACCGACGCCGGCCTCGGGCCTTCCCCTCCGGAGGCCGAGGGGCGGGCACAGCGGGCCGCTGTTTGTCCTGCACGGGTGGCCTTCTGTGCCCGGCTCTGGAAACCGTTGTCGTTTTCCCTGTGGTTGTGGGTGTTACTGTTCTGCTTGGGTGAGAGAGGAAAGTGTAGGGAGAGTTCGCTGACAGCCTGTCTCTGCCCGGCCGTACCCGAATAATCGAGGCTTCATTCGTTGCCAGGTTCATTGTGACCTTTGCCATTAAAAAGCTGAGACCTCTTTGGTTTTGCTTTAGTTCTACGACTACCAGCTGGAAAACAGGAGGGAAATTCTCTGGGTTCTAACTATTGAAACCTTCATCTACACCTTAAAAAAAGAAAAAAAAGCTTTCTGGTGTTTTGATTATGTAAAACGAGAGACCTAAATCCAGCTTTTTCCATGAGTAGGGTATGGAAATTACATTAACTACCAAACAGCAATCATGGCTAAACTCGGCTCTGCCAGATTCTCTCTGAGCCCACAGTGGGGGGAGATGTGGAAGGGAGGAGGGACCTCAGCAGGGAGGGATTGGTGTTCCTCCTGGGTGGGCGGGCTGAAGGGGTCCTAAAACCAGCAGCCCCCCCCCCCGCCCCCGCCCCCTGCTCTCTTCGCCTTTCCCCTCCTCCCCTCCCTGCCCCCAGTAAATGCAAACAGCTTGGCCACACAGACCAAGGCCAAGGCGAGAGACTAAGTGCTGTGCACTTTGAACTCTTGGGAGTTAAACATTAAAGTGTATCTACTACAGTATTGATTTTTCTTCCGTTCGGAAATCAAACCAGCTAAGACTGGTTTTCACAGTCGTCCTATCACCTGAAGAGACCCGCCCTGCAGGCACCCCCGCGGTGTCTGGGAACAGCAGGCTGGGCCTGCCGCAGCGCAAGGACGCACGGCCGGCTGGAGGGAGCCGCACCTGGGGCTCCTCAGCGGGGCCTGGCGCGGTCACTGTAAAATTTCAGATGTGAGAGCACAGATATTAGAGGTCACAATCATCTTTATAATCAGGAAATGTTGCTAAAAGGACTAAATGAATTCAGCATTTGTCATAACCTAAAACTGGAGGGTAATCCAGGTATCTTTGAGTGGAAGAATGGACGGTTTTGTTCCGTCGATCCAGCGGCAAGCACTCACCCGGAGCACACCCTGACATGGACGGGGGACGACCCTCCGAGACAGCGTCCAGCTGAGGGGCCAGCCTGGCCCAGGGAGAGACGACGTTTATAGACAGCCGCACGCCCCTCCCGGCACGTCGGGTGGCGGCCTCCTGTCCAGGCAGGCCGGCCCCCGGCCCAGGGCCACGGCACACTGGTGTCCCCGTGGAGTCAGACCCTCCCCTGTCCTTGCGGCTGAGATGCTTTGTGCGCCACAAACTCAGAGCAAACAAGTCAAGTTCTTTATCTTCTCTGTGCCTTCGTGTCACAAACCATGAGAACGTTGGGCTGAACAAGTTTAAATTTCCATCCACATTTGATGTTTATAAATCCTCAGTCCTTAGCACTCCTTTGCGGGGCGGGACCTGCCGTACAGCTGTCACCACAGAAGTGACGTTAGGAAGATAGAGTAGCTGACCTAGGGTCCTTTATAACGTGCATAGCGCTGTGTACTTAGGAAAACGCTCCGTGTCCCTAATAACGGGACCACAGGTGAACCCTGGGCGCAGACCCCAGGGGGGACGGGGGCGAGCTGCGCGCCTCATGGGGCCTCCGTTCCTTCGACCAGAGACTGAGCGGGCCGACCAGGCCCTCTGTCCCTTCAGGGACCTTGGAGTTGAAACCAGAAATGTGAGTGAAAGCTGTTTGTGTATGACAAGGCCCCATATCCAGGACAAGCACTGCTGGGGGGACGTGTTTATGGAATGACCAGCGCGCGCCTTCACAGCAGCCGCTGTTGTGTACAGGGAGAGGCTTCGCACCGGATAGGGGACTCGGCTCCCCAGGAAGGATACTGAGCCCATGTAGTATTTTCTCTTTCAAAAAGTTTGTAGCAGCAGTTCGTCATCACCCTTCACTCAGACTCTCCAAATGAACCTGAGCTTCTGCACGTCCCACCGAGGAGTCCGTGGTCTGAGGGCGGCAGCCACAGTGCTCTGGCCCCTCATTTTTCGTAGATTGTTCACCTCTTTCAAAGGTCGAGTGTCCGATGAGACACAGCAGGAGGCAAGCCGCCGTGATGAGAAAGCGGCAGCGCGTTTTGAAACCACCTGGCCACGTCAAGCTGCTGCCGTGTGCCATTATCCTCAAACATGGTTAAAGCTCTTTCTTTTTTATACACTTTTATGTGCCCGGCGGAAGTACTTTGCATCCTCACCAAAACAGAACTCCCATTTCTTTTTAATTTCTTCAGCAGCAGAACCCTTTTCCAAATTACACCTGGCGCATTTAGAATCACAATACGTAACAGTAAAAACCTGCTGCAGGGAGGGCGGGCGGGGTGGGGAGCCTGGCCCCCGCCTGCTCAGGCCCCCGGGCGCCCCCTGCCTCCTAGCGAGGCTCTGCCGGGTACGCAGAGTCCCTCAGGGTGGGGGCCCCGTACAGCTGCTACGGATGCTGATGTCGCTTTGAAACTTTGCCTCTCCTGCCAGGTGCCAAACAGAAGGAACCGGACACGGAATGACCACTGTGACCAGAGGCGCCCTCGTGGGACCTGAACGGAGATCCTGGGTCGCGCTTTGCCTCATCCACACTGACCACCACGGGAGAGAGGAAGATGGCCAAGAATGTATATCAGGGTTTAGTGATGGGTATTCTTTCCAGTGATGTTGAAACTGAGCATAAAAAAAAAGATTGTATGTGTTTGAAGAGCCAGGCTTGCGTTTTTAAGGCTGTCTTCAGACCCTCGTCTGAACGATTTCAAATGCTGTACGTCATTAAAGTGCACTGTGTCCTGAAATGTTTATTATTTTTCATTTCCAAGAATTCACTGGTATGGAACAGGTAACGTGACATAAGGCGAGCGTGTGGCCTATTCAGACCTAGTGCCTTATGTCAGGACGGCGACATGTCCCCACTGCTGCTCGGGACAGCGGGAGCGTGTGCGTGTACGTGTGCGAAACGACACTGCTGGCGTGTGAGTCTTTGAACCTTTACCAAATCAGTTTCTTTTGCGTTAGATTTGTCGACCAGTTGTACTCTGAATCATTTATAAATGATTGCTTTATAAAATTTTGAGGACAGTTTTATGTTTAAGTGTTCCGAACTGTAGCGTAAACAAGACTGCTTTACAAGAGCTTTATTTATTTTTCCTTTCCTGCAGTTTTTTCACCCATCTTCGGTGGGCGAGCGCCACCGTGCCCGCGGACAGACCGTGCGGGGTTCTGTTTAAATGGCACATTTCTCATTATTTAAGTGTGGGTCTGGATGTGTGACTTCTCGAACTGGCGTGGGGTGTGACAAGCTGGAGTTCTGGACGCGTGCGTGCGAACCCGCTCTGCCGGCCTGGGAACAGGGAGCCGTTCCCAGGAAGCCAAGGGCTGGGAAGACGTCTGTTTTCTCTCGTGTATTGAAATGTAAAATCATGACGTCTGTGTGACTGCTGACGGGATCATTTTTTTGTAAATCCTATTGTGGCAAAGACAGTATTGTCATATGATCGAAGAGAAACACAGCGTTTCTGAATGTAAGCGCTCTGGAAGTGTTGACACTGTACATACGAGTATAGTTTTTTTTTTTTTGTTTTGGGGTTGGTTTGTTTTTTTCAGATTGAAAAATTAAAATAAATCTTACTATCTGCCATTTTGTTAAAGTCGTTCTTTAAAATGCCGCGTATTTCATCATACATTACTTAAAATTCCGTATGCCGCTCCCCGCTTAAGATGTTCCTCCCCAGGTAAAGGAGAATGTGAATTTTCATATCCTTTTTCCATTATGGGGCGGGGAGGGACCTTAGTGATTCTATTTCTCAACAACTCATCTCTCCATTATTAAATTGAACACAGTTAGTTTGAAGCTGCCACGCAGACTTTCCTGTGCTCGGGTATCAGCGTTTTCCAATCCTAACTGGCCAGACGTGAGCGCGCATGTTTTCCCCGTAGAAGTGACCGTGGTCGCAACTTGGGCCGATGGACTGCTTGGGAGAAAGGGAAAGCGTTACAGATCTGCTGAAGCCATGCGGTTCTGAAACTCAAAGTGTCTTCTCGGCCAGCCCCTTGTCTGTGGAGGCAACACGAGTGTGCCCAGGGGACAGGGCGCAGGGACGGGCTGTGTATCTGCTGCTTCAGAAGAGAGTCTGGGACCTCTTGACAGAGACATGTGTGCTCATTCTCCGTTCCCACAGGGCGCGAGCGCACGCCCAGCACACCTCGGACCCTCCCTGAGTGGACCTTCGTCGTGTGGACCCACCAAGCACAGCAGGGTTTGGAGTGGACCTGTAAGTGCTACCTCGCTTAGTCCTTAGACTGCCACTAACAAAGGCCCCTTATCCTCTGTTGCCACCTGAGTTCGCATCTGTCCCCCCGAGGTAGTAGTGTGCTTTTCCGCGCCCTTCTAGCGACAAGGCAGGTGGCAACCAAGGACGTCCAGGTGAAAGTTTTCTAAGGGGAAAGGCCTAACCAGGGGGGTCCAACCTTCTGGCGTCTCTGGGCCCCACTAGAAGAAAAAAAAGTTGTCTTGGGCCATGTGTTAAATACACAAACGCTAACAAAAACAAAACTATCTCAATGTTCTAAGTTACTTGACGGCTTCATGTTGGGCTGCATTCATAGCCACCCTGGGCCGCAGGTGGGACACCCCCGGAAACGGTTCGAGGGAGCAGCCCGCCCCCTGGAGGCCCTGGGTGGGCCTTGGGTGTCGATGCGCCTTATCACTGCGATGCCCGCCAGGACCAGTGGGCGGCCCGCTCGCTTGGCGCCCGCAGTGCCCCCAGCGGGGACTCTGGCCCTCGCACCCAGGAGAAGCCAATGGCATCTCAAAGGGCTGCCGTGAACGAAGGAGTGGTAACTGTGTTGTGTGCTGATCCCTTAAGGAAAACGCATGTTGAACTAATAACGTTGCTCAGAACATTTTGTCGGAGAAACATTCACATGAGCATCCTCTTACACAACTGCTCCCGAACCAGGGGAGATCTGACCCTGGGGGCAGGTGTCGCCCCAGGGATGGGGAGAAGGGCTGGCATCTTGGCTGGCAGAGGCCCCGATGCTGCAAAACAACTCACCCCGAACAGAGCGGCTCCCAGACCACATCCCGGCTGAGAAGCCTGCCCCAAAGCCAGTTCGAGTCTTGAGGGTATTTCTGTTGTATTTGTTACTCTCTGACTGACTCCATCTGTCTTTGGAGAAAAACTCAGCAGGAACACTTTCTGGGAAAAACAACCATGGACACACCTTCAGGGGCAAATTGCAGAGTCGCCCTGACCTCAGTTTCCTTCACAGTGTTTTCACCCGAGAGCGCACTTTGCTTTGCATAATGGCGCGCTCAGGAGAAAATTTCTACCCAGAAAATTTCTCCCCGTAGGGAAATCCTCAGAAAGTGTAGACTCTGCTCATTTTACCGTCATAAATCTGGAACACACTCCCCAACTGTTTTTCACATAAAATCCCCGCAGAGCTGGTGTGGAAAGCCCGCAGGTAGAGCGTGCGTGAAGTGCTTTCACGCAGAACCCCGGACGCACCCTCCTGGGGACGGCCTGTCCTCGACACGCTGTGTGACTGACCTTCAGGTGCCGGCCTGCAGGAGGGCCCAGTGAAATGGCCGGTCAGCTCTCAAAGGATGCTGAGGTCCCTTCCCGCAGGAAGGGCAGCGAACACCTGGTCCCCAGTTCTCGACTGCGCTTGAAGCCCTGCTGGCCTCTGCCGACGAAGGCCTCGCAGATCAGAAGCTGAGAACCCGCAAAAGTGCGGCTCGCCCCACACCCCAAAACCCACAGCACCCCCATCCCCTGACCGGGGCTTTCGGAACCTCAGAGGACCAGCCTCACGGCCGCGCCCACGTGCCAGTGTCAGCAACTCCTGATGCCTTGCCCTCCTCCCCCACGCTCCCGGGCGGGAGACAGCGGGCCAGCGAAGGGCGGAGAGAGGTGGCGCCGGAGTCAGCAGGTCGGCTTCCTGGCGCTGCCGTGCTCCCCGGGGGCGGCTGTGAACCGTCACTGCAGGCCACGGCCCCACTCTGAGCGTCACTGAGGGGTGGGTATACGCCTGTGCACCCTGCAAACGCCAGAGGGGGCCGCGGTCACGTTGACGCGATGGTCCCCTGAGCAGCTCCAGGAAAGCAACACCATCCTGTTCATCTCGACGCCCGCCCTGGCAGGTCTCTGGCACCTGGTAGGCGCCACGTGGCTGACGAGTGGGTGGTGAAGGCCAGGACACCTAGTGGGACGGGCGGCTGGTGAGGTGCCCTGGTCGCAGCAGCTTTGCCCTCTGAGCTGCCCATTCACCTGATGTCAAGTCAGGACATGGAGCGTCTGCTGCAAATTCGAAGGGAACCCCTCCTCTGAGCGATCCAGGGGTCACACGAGGACACGCGGGAGGCAGGCCCGTGGGGCGAAGGCTTTGCCCTGTCACAAAGGGCACTTCCTTGTCCGAGAAGGGGACGTGGGTGTCCATGGACCCCCAGGCCGCGCTGAGAGCTGCCCTCCTGTGAGCGGTGCCTGTGGGCCCGGGGGCCAGAGCGCAGACCCACAAGGGCGGGAGGGAGCGCCCTGCCCCGGCAAGAGCACAGGGCGGGGAGGCGCCTCCTCTCTGGCCTCGTCCAGGCCTGCGCTGTCCTGCACTGTCCCCGCGGCCCTCGGGCTAATAGCGCCTGCCTTAGACAGGCTAACCATTAGAGGAATTGGGCTTGGGGCTTGAGTGTGACAAAAGCAGCCCCTCCCATTTTCCCTTCCCCTGGCGCAAGAGAAGCCCGAACTCTGTGCTGCGCTCAGGTGGGTTGGAGGACCTACCAGGGCTCCCCCTTCTCGGGCGGCGTCTTCCCGATCGATGCACCTTTCCTTAGTCCGGGTTCTGGTGTGTTGAATTCTGGCCTTCCGGAGCGTCAGGCACGTGGACTGTGGGCGGGTGACCATCCCAGATCACCCTTTCTGGGTGAGGAAAAGAGACAAGGGAAAGGGACAAGACCACAGGCTGGGCTGCCACCGCGTGCCAGCTCACCCGGCCCGCACAGCGTGGGGCCGGGGGGCCCTGCGAGGCGTGGGAAGGCGGGGTCGCTTTCAGGAGGGGGCGCTTCGGATCTGAAGTCACTGCCTCGGTGACAGATCATCTCTGGAATAAAACTGTCACGCCAGTCAATGTTTCTCTTTTCACAGTGACTGAAAATACAAGTGTCTCTTGCTGACGTTTGAGAGTGCGAGCCAAGTGTGTCTTGTCCTGCTGAAATTTGGGCTGCTTACCCTCCAAGGCCAAGGCCAAAGCCAAGGCCAAGATGCCTGCTCTCAGCACTTCTGATCAGCGTCACAGTGCAGTAAGGCAAGAAAACGATACAAAGTCATCCAAAATGAAAAGTGAGAAATGAAAACTATATGTAGTAAAGCCAATGAGCTCCCCAAAATACATAGACACTAATACGTGTGCGTGCACGCGTGGAAACTAATAAATGAGTTTAGCAAAGTTTTTCAGCTTGGGGTGGTAAACACACAAATACAATGCACAGAGGATGAGTTGTAGAATTGTGCACCTGGAACCTGTATAATTTCGTTAACCGGTGTCACCCCAATAAACTCAATAGCTTAGTTGGTTAGAGCATCATCCCAATACATTAAGGTTGGGCGTTCGATCTTCAGTCAGGGCACATACAAGAATCAACCAATGAATGCATAAATGGAACAACAATGTTTCTCTTTCTTCCTTTCTCTCTAAAATAAATTTTAAAAGAAAAAAGGGGAAAAAAAGACAAATCAACTATTTTTTATATACTAACAAGCCATTGAAAATTTAAAAAATTTAAAATCCCATTTATAACAGCACCAGCTATGAAATATTTTGAGTAAATTTGATAAAAGATATGTAGAGCCTGTACACTGACAAGTACTAATATCGCTGAGTGAAATTAACAAAGACCGAAATCAGTGGAGTGATACAGCTTGTTCACGGGTCAGAAGACTCGATATTGCTAAAATACACACGCTCCTAAAACTGATTGCAAGATTCAAAATCCCAACAGACTTTTTTTATAGAAAGTGACAAGGAGATTCTGGCAATGGAATGAAAATGTAGAGGACTTAGACTAGCCACGACTGTGAAAAAACAAGTTTGGAGGGATAAAACTATCGGATTTCAAGATTCATTATAAAACCATAGTTGTCAAGACAGTACACTGTTGTTGCAAAAACAGGCAAATACATCCATGGACCAGACAAGTGGCCAGAAACAGACCCACCTATACGTGGGCAGCTGAATTTTGGCAAATGTGCAAAGGCAACTCAGTGGAGAAAGGAGAATCTTTTCAGAAAAACACAAGGTGCAGGAGGGATTGGATACAGCAGGTCCTCACATAACATTTCCTTATAACATTGATCAGGGAAAAAAATGGGTTCCTGGCCGAGGCCACAGTCCGTGTGCAGTTGGCACGTTTTTCTCATGTTTGTGTGGGTTTTTCCTTGGGGACACTGGTTTTCCCCCACACCCCAAAGATGTGCAATGAGGTGAACTGTGTGTCTCCAGTGACTTCGTCTGAGTGGGTGTAAGTGGCCACTAACTACAACATCACTCACTGAGTCACCAAAAATTGGGTAAATACTGCAATTATCTTGTTTTTCGTCATCTTTCTTAAATGTACATATAGCTGACATTTATTTTAAT